TGCGATCCGATTTCTTTTTGTGTATATATATATATATATATATATATATATATACTGTATGTATGTTATCTATACAATATATTAATACATGTTATCAAAGAAATGAAAGCATTCCTAAGTGCAACAAAGTAGTTGCTGTCGATGTCCAGTATACTGTATCATCTTTTATTGAGGGGTGGCATGGTGGTCTACTGGTTAGCAAATCTGCCTCACAGTGCAGAGGTGCAGGGTTCGATTCCAGGTCCTGTGTGGAGTTTGCATGTTCTTCCAGTGCCTGCATGTGTTTTCTCCGGGGACTCCGGTTTCCTCCCACATTTCAAAAACATGCATGGCAGGTTGATTGGACAGTCCAAATTGTCCCGAGGTGTGAATTTGAGCGTGAATGGTTCTTTGTCTATGTGTGGTCTTCAATTGGCTGGCAACCAGTTCAGGGTGTACCCCACCTACTGCCTGAAGACAGCTGGGATCGGCTCCAGCACGCCCGCGAGCCTAGTGAGGATAAGCGGGTTAGAAAATGGATGGATGGATGGATTGAGTTTTATTGAGGACTGTGTCTACAATCATAAAATGTGTGCATATTTTTTTTACACAACAAAAATCAGAGTGTTTGCAGTCATTGCTGTTGTTACAAATTAATTGTACTTGTAGAATGTAGTATCATTTGATGCACTGGCAGATAAATGTGCACTGGTTGTCTTTTTATTACAATTGTTTTAACTAGCAATTACGTATGAGATCGTACAGAGCGAAGAACACAGTAGTAGTTAATGAGTCCAGGATTTTGTACTTATTCAAAGACCTTTAATGTGGTTGTTATGTTTTCAAATTCTTCAAAAACTGTTAGATTTGCGAGATTATGAGATGAGGTGTTGAGTGGAGGGATGATAAAATGGAGGGAGGGAGCAGAAGATGAAGTAATGTGCCTGCACTAAATGCTCCAGCTGGGGGTCAAATCTTGTTCATGGAAACCATCTGGCAAGCTCCATCAGAGCAACACCAAACGGCCCTCCTCTATGTCTCCCTCACCTTCGTCCTTAAAAGCCACCTCTATGCTACTCCTTCCGCTTATCCTAACCTCCTTCTCATTTCCATCGGTTTACCTTTGATGCCTCTGCAATTTTGTCCCTAAAAAAATCCTGCTCATTAATAAATAGCAGCTGCAGGGAGCAGCGTTACTTCATTTTTCCATGGCAACGGCTTTCTGTTTAAGTAGATCCCATTTCAGTTTTGGTAGCAACGTATTCTTTTGCCAGGATTGAACACATTCATGTGTTAAATAAAAGGAATTATACCTAAATTCCTGAGATGAAATTGCAGTCCCGATCAAAAGCAATTAATATTGTGTGGAAACATGGATGTCCTCTGGGGAAACATGGAAGAGAGGAAGAGATGACATGATGACAATAGGAATAGGCAGGTAGGAGATGAACATTTGGGAAATACTTGTATCTTTAAAAAAAAGAAAGGATGAAATGAATTCTATAATGATGAAGTTTACACATATTAGGCTTCAGAGATCGTAAAGAAGCAAAACTATGTGCTAATCAGAAATCACAATTCATTAAAAATTTGTTTGAATGCTCAGACATTCTGAGAGTGAAAATGAATGGAAATGAGCACCACGTCACATTATTGGTTGCTCGTTGCGTAGGCCTTAATTAGAGTAATTCCAGCAATCTGAGTGGATGGAATTTTGCACAGTGCACATGGAAAGTGTGACAACGCGAGAACTGTAATCAAATGTATGCCGACAAACTTTTGTGGGAACTCAACAAATGTGTACATTAGTGAATGCAATGTATGTACCACCCACACCATTAAAAGGTCAATCCAAGGAGTATCCTATTCTGTTCTGTACGATGCTACTCACAGCCCATTCATCCATCCAAATGTCCAGCAATGCCCTGCTCAGGCTTACAGTTTTTTTGCAAAATTTGGGCTTTGGGGACATTGATTCTCCTGTGCCTTTCACACAGAACCAAATGAAGCACCTGCGTGTTCACACACAACATACCTTCACATAAGCATATAATTTAAAGTGTGATGATGGGTGCCAATGCCCGGTGTACCAAAGACTTGTAAGACACAATTGCTACGGTTGGTTGTGTCGCTTTACCATCACCAACACCTAAACTGTCTAAAAATGCAGAGTTTAACTCAGGGGTGTCTAAACTTTTTCATTTGAGGGCTGGATACGGAAAAAAATGAAAGGATGAAGGGGCTTTTTAAAATCCGTCACTGTTTTGAAACACGCTAAAGCAGGGGGGTCCAAACTACCGCCCATTTGTGGCCGCCATCCATTTTTCAGTGGGCCACGACACGACAAAAACAAAACAAAACAACTAAACATGACATTTGACATGAGCCGCCAAGGTGAGATGACAAAGGTGAAGGCAGGCAGAGTGAGAAGGGAGGGTGTCAGAAAAATAGGTACCATTAATACTAATAAATGTGTTTATATAATGAAGAAATGTTCTCGATATTCAAAGATACAAATAAGCCATTTATGATTAAAAGAATAACGCCGTTTATCTTCAAAACACTTTGAATTATTATTGCTGCACATCATCGAATACTTTGAGGGCTGCCAGTCCTTTCGGTTGGTTGCTAGCTATCCATCGCCGCTCTTTTATCTCCATCGGCAGGTATGTGATAAAAAGCCAAGTTTGGTTTAGATCCGAGTCTATAAGTACATACGACCGCACAGCAAGATTGACCTTTTTTGGAAGATAAACGCTTACATAAATATATCCAGGACTATACGCTTTACAGGAGTTTCAATGGGTTCAACAGGTGCAAAGAGTTATTTTGCCGTCCTGCGTGGCAGAGGGGGCATCCCTCGGAAGGCTTTGCCATAAAGCGCAAACGGTGAATTGATGGTGAGTCCCGAAGGCAGATCAGTTCACAACCACTGAATCAAAGAATAAGAATAAATGACCAGCTGTCATATGTCCTTACTTTCAGCATTAACTGCTTTCAGAAGTGGTAGAATATTCGATCATTAAATGCCGACAATCTCCTTCAAAAAGATGAATACAACTTCTTGTAGCTTTTGATATTTTTGGTACACTTCTTGTCGGGGGAAAGATGCAAGAAATGGATGACGACATAAGCGTGTGCAAAAAAAAAAAGCGGGATACAATAGGTATTGTGTTTACATGGCACAAAAATCAATTGAGTGATTTACGTTTTGATATATCCAAGGCCTGGGGTACCAGCTGTCAGGGTGTCGGTTTGGTTCAGTTCTACCTCCATGTCAACAGGCCAGGCTATTTCCTAATTACTGCTGTAGTGCTTGGTGTGGTCCCAGTTGAACAGCCAAAGGGGACAGAGGAAAGTGGAGGCAATGACGGGCTCGGCAAACTATTAGAAGGTTGAGTTAACTTTTGAGGAAACTGTAAACAGCTTAATGGCCTGACATGAGATCTGGGTTCTTGGAGCGCCCCCACCCCGCCTCAATTCGCACACGTCATGCTCTCTTTTATGTTTGACATACGTCGGTTTGTGTGGTCCCGGTAACAAGAATTAAATGGAATTAATAAAACCTGTTGGATTTGCATCACTGATTGTTTACATGCATCATACATTAACAAGCAATTACATTGTTTAGACTCACATAAAAAGCAATGATTATATTCAAGGTTGACTCATTTACATGGCATTTCTATAAAGCTGCTAAGAGCAATGTTACACTATTTTGACAAAATGTAAATCTGTCAAAATTCAAAGTCTGGTTGGAAAGGCTGAAGTGCCGTTTGTGTGGGGAAAAATCTGGTCAGGAACGCACCTTAAAAGTAAAACCGTATAACTTATAACTTATTAACGTATTATAACGTATTTCTCAACATACTTCAATAGTCCTTCGGGCCCTAATTTGCATAAATTGACCACCACCACACCCCCAAAAAAGTTGGAACATTTTTCTCTTCCCTACCCCCCAAAAAAAAGGAAAATAATGAAACTAAGCTATCCAAACCTAATATATGAATCCAGAATATAATTCAAAAAATAAAGACAATTTTAAAATATCTGCTTTGGTTGCGATTAACTCTGATGATGCTTTCCCTGGAAATGCTAGTCCTCAGAAACTACTGGATGGAATTGGCTGAAGCATGCAATGCAGCTACTAATAAAGCTATTGGGTGCAAATATGAAGTTTGGTGCTACACAGTTCATTCTACTTGATGCCTACTTGACACTGCGTTGCATTGAATTGTGAGATGCCCCAACAAAAGTCGTCTTTTGTAACCTTGAAACAATATCTGGGGAAATTATAAATGGTCGAAAGATCCTATTAAAAAAATGTCATGCAAAAGCTGTGAATAGTTAGAAGTTATTGGTCCAACAATACAAGTTAATTTCGATAGCTGCCACATGACCAGGTTTACATGCAGCCAATATTCGGGTTAAATTCAAAATTCTGATTTCTGAAACACTCGGAAAAGCCCCGTTACATGCGTGAGCAGACTGAGATACTCTCACATTTGGAGGATGGGTGACAGTTAGAGTTGAAGGTTGCATATTTAATCAACAGGTGGACCAGGTATGTATTGGACTTTTCAGATAATATTCAACAATAGGATGGGGCAGATGCAGGTTCTCACAAGTGGACTCTGGCACAGCCCGACGATGGCTTTCCATAAGGCCCGACTGACTGAACAGATTTGTAGACAACTTGAGCATTGTAGAAGGTCAAATAAGTGCTATTACACAATACAAGCAAAAAAAGAAATAAGGTCACATCCAATACATTGCACTGAACATTTGCTCCAAACACTATCTCAGATTAAGCACTTAATTTAAAGCATTTAATTGTATCAAAAGTATAAAAAATATTTTCAAGTATTGATGATGAGCAGAATCATATTGTTCATTTCCCTGAAATATATTTATGTGAAAATCTAGTCTTATGCTCCCCAAAGTGCTCAGTTATGATTTCCTTCAATCATTGCTGATAATGCCACAAATACACCAAGGAGAAGAAATGTGTGATTCATTACCTGTACAGTAAGACGTTTAACTGAATCCCAAGCATGGCCAATGAGCTCCTTCATCTGTTCCTCTGACGTTACCAAGAACTCGGCGGCTGTCGTGTCAGGCATCACCTTCATAGGAATGGAAAGGGGACGGGATTCTGGAGAACAGGCGGGTAAAGACAATTGACACCGGTTTTTAAAAAAAAAAACTGCTTGAGTTATCACAAATAAATGAGTTTGTAGTAGCAACATGACCTATATGTTGACTCCAACTATTCAGGGTCATTTAACTGTATTTCACTCCTTGGAAGGTGAAAATAAATACCCATCCATCCATTCTCTGTACCGCATATCCTCACTGGGGTTGCAGAAGTGAAATTTGTCCAATGGATAGAGTGGACAGTGGTCAGATTTTGAGGCCTCACAGTATAAAGACTGACTGAATGGATGTTGATAATGACCTCATAATAAAGATCAATTTAGCTGGACATCCATCAATCCATTATCTGATACGCTTATCTTCGCGGGGTTCACGGGCGTGCTGGAGCCTATCCCAGCTGTCTTCGGGCAGTAGGCGGGGAGCACCCTGAACTGGTTGCCAGCCAATCGCAGGGCACATTCAGTATTGACAAACAACCATTCACGCTCACAATCACACCTAGGGACAATTTTGAGCGTTCAATTACCCTGCTACGCATGTTTGTGGAATGTGGGAGGACATTGGAGTAGCCGACGAAGACCCACGCAGAACACGCCAACTCCAGAGAAGAAGGCCAGAGCCAGATTCGAACCCACAACCTCTGGATTGCGAGGTGGACATGCAAACCAGTCGAGCACCATGCCGCCCTTTAGCTGGCCAGTATTGAACTGAGAATGTGCGCACGTGTAACACACACACACACACACACACACACACACACACACACACACACACACACCTAAGACAGTAATATCTAGACATGACACATCCCGGTATGCCTGCTGTGGTCCAGACAAAAGCAGATTGTGCAGACATTGGTGCTGAACAGCAGCGACAATCCCTCACATTTCACAGATTGAATCCAAGAACAGACCATACGAGTAGAAGGCACAGTCACCGTGGGAAAAATGTGAGTAGAGAAATGAAGGATGAGAAAGGTTAAGTATAGAGGCAGAAAGAGAGCCGATGAGAGGAACATGGACAGGCAGAATTCACTTTCGACCAGATTAGCCTGACGTCTGTGCATGTTAAAGCCATCATGGTGTCAGAGATTAACAAGAGTTTTCTCTAAAGACAAATTTAGACATATTCCATGATTTAGGCCTGCTTTACTCAGCGGCTCTATCCCACATTTATCATGAACGGTGGTGATGTCACAGAAACCACAGCCTCCTCAGATACCACACATCTATACGTCAATAAAATAGCCAAATGGATCGGCGTAAGAAAATATGTGAATCACTTGGACACTGAAGAATATTCCTGGAACTTACCTTCTGTGTAATCACTTGCCTGTAACTGTATGTGGTGCATGGCTCTGAGTTGTACATCAATACAGACAAGACTACAGCCAAAATAATTGTTGTCTTGCACAACTGGCTAGTTATTACATTTTTGAATTTTTTATTATTATTGAATAAACATATGTGAAAACCTGTAACCATTGTAAATAGCACAGCCAGTTTACGCTGTGTTTTCTATGCTATTGCTAATTTATTATATTCATTCTACAAATATATTGCTAATGCTTTATTTTATATTGCACTTATATTGAACTATCTTCAGTTCTTTTCTGAAACATTTATTTTGTGCAATGAAACACTTTATTTTTTTCTCCCCCCCTCCCCAATTTTGCTGCTGTAGACTACAAATTTCCCCAGTGTGGGACAAATAGAGGTTATCTTATCTTATCTTATCTTACAGAGGTATCGGTAGGATGTAGAATGCTTTATAATTTGATTTTCTGTTTTGGGGGAATTATAGCTGAGAAACATACCCCCCCCCCCCACACACACACACACACAAAGTTTTTGTTGCTCAAAGTGAGACGCCATCATACTTTTGAATTCATGAGTTTTCTGAAATAAAATGTCAGCAAACATGGTTAAAATATGCGTACCTTCTTAAATGATTATTTCAGTGGTGGTGAAAGTTTAAAAAAAATAAGTCCTAACGAAACCACAATGTCTCAAGTTCCAGTGAAAAGTTCATGATTGATGGCAGCTGGCAGGTTCTATGTGCAATATAAAAAAAGTTGGTTTTACAGTAGGCGCTGGATTCGCAACCATAGGTATTCTCAGGAGCTCAATGCCTTATGTGGATAAAACAAGTGAAGTCTAAGGTGCGGCCCAATCAAAGAATAAACAAGGTGACGCCAATAACTGTATTAGTGTCACTCAGTCTATCTACTGGGTGTGTATGTCAAACTATGTTTGTCTCTGCAAAGCTAGGAAGTCATGATGTTTCTTTGATCTTATTCACTATCTTGACTACAAATTTTGGGATGCTGATCAATAGTAACGACTGGTGAGATTGACTGTTAAATGGATCGTAAAGTCTATATCTCACCCAAAGGCAAATGCTTTCAAACACAGCAAATGTGGGCTTTTGCCAGGGTTCCTAAAAGGTTGCAAAGAGTTTTACTTGTCGCACTTTTGAACATGTTCAAAATTTTCTTGCAAATCCATTGTGGCAAGTTTTTGCAAAACAGTCGTGAGCATTTGGAAACGGTGGTAAGATGCGTGGCCAACGTTCGTTTGGATTTGCCAAAGCTAGAACCCATGTGACTGTGTTTGCTATATGTTGACAAAGACATTTGGAGACAAGGGTCACCTGCACCATTTTTTAACGGTTTTTGTCTGAGACTTTACAGTACAAGTTAAACATAATTCATTTCCACATTAACGAAATCTACTGCATCTTGGACGGCAAAAGTAAATGTCGCTATGGCATAGGGGACCCCCTGAATTTCCACAATATTTATCAGTACTACATCGGCATGCAAGTATATATATGAAGAAATATACCTGAGCATTTTTATTTTGTCTACTCCCTCTCTGGCACGTTACCTATTGGAACAGTATTCTAGTGACTTAAAGTGTGTGTGGAAGGGTCAGCAAAAGGGATTCTTGAATAAAACCTGCCTGCTTACTTGTCTCGGGTAAGTTGTTTATTCAAATATTTATGTGACCATTTGTGACAACACAATCGGAGTGGACATCACCATGTGATTGTAGGCTGTGTTGCCAGGTCAGCATTGTAAATTAGAATAAAAATTGTAATTAAACACCAATGTGCGCAAGATAATGCCTGAACTGTTGATGGGATTGGTGCACCGTACGTCAGAGTGGACTTACGACACCAAAACTATGACACAAGAATGAAATAATCGATAAGACCAACCTAATTTCAAACGTGCATGTGTGAGGGGACGGTGGGGTAGATCGTGAGATGCCGTTAATATTACTCAACTGTGCGCTTGCGAAGCCCTTTGAGACTTTTTTTTTTTAAATTAGACATTATAAACTGGGCTTGACCTGTCCCTGAAAGTGAGTGAGCCCAGTTTCGAATCATTGCATCTTCTTTTATTCTCACAACTCCAACTTCCCTTTCTGTTCCCTTCACTCTGACCTAAAAGCACCCAGCCAAGATCCACAAGAACCGTAATAGCCTTATCATTCATAAAAGCGCAAAAAGGAAACACAAAGAAAAATGTATTCCCTCTCGAGTCTATGAGAGTTTGAATGGGCTAATCAGTATGAGGCATCTAAATACATTCAAATTTAGCAGTAAGAGTCCCTTCGAGACTATAACCAGTCCTCTCAGGCAGGGGCCTCATATCTCATTATTTATAATTTGTCTTGCTTTCTTTGCCAAGCCAACCAATCCTAACCTTGATAAATTATTGGCCGTACCCGAAAAAGTTTAACTATATAAACTCCACAATGAAAATATTATCCCATTCTGGAAAGCACACAGCAGCCAATAAAAACCTGCCTGACTTCCATCAGGCTACTAGGACATCATGTATACTGCGTAAGTCTGCCTGCATATGTCTTCCTGTTGGTTTCTTCGATCATTTGTTTTCCTTTCTCTTCTTTCTACCCACAATCTTGCTGCTGAAGGCTGTAAATTTCCCCAGTGTGGGACAAATAAAGGATATCTTATCTTATCTTATCTTATTTATGTGTACATAAATGCATCTAAAGCTCATTTTGTTGATTCATACCAAATATATTGCAAGTGAGGTCTATCCGGAATGTCTCTTACCCATGAACTGTTCTCTTCCCACTGGAGCATAATTTTACTTATATGGCTGAGATTACCAAAAGGTTTTCCGAGGAGTACAGTTCTGACCACCATGCTATATATATATATATTTTTTTTTGACAACCTTACAGATTAATAGCACAAACAAAACAAATGTTTCCATTGCACTCTATCGTTTTCTAGTCTTCCCAGTAAACAGGAAAATTATACCTAATCCCATCATCCAGACCACTAGCAGACAGGAACAAAGGCAGCACTTCTTGTTCCAAACTTTGGGAAGCAGAGCCAGTTCGGAGGATAAGTTTCTCAGCAAAGCAGAATTCTCTTAGGGCGCCAATGGCTAATTGAAGGATTGAAAAGCAAGGCCAGTGAGCTCATTTCTCTGGTAGATGTTAGCGAACAATGAGAAGGTTGGGACTTGGAACAAGATTCTGCTTCCAAAAAGAACATTCATTAGAGATAGAAAAAAAAGCAACTAAGGGGTTACTTTTATGTGAACCACTTTAAGAAGTAATTGTCAGGGCAGACATATATTGATTTCAAACTGCAGCCACAAACAGATAATCCCGCGCGCACGCACGCACGCACGCACGCACGCACGCACGCACGCACACACACACACACGCACGCACGCACGCACGCACGCACGCACGCACGCACGCACGCACGCACGCACGCACGCAAAAAAAAAAAAAAGCTAGGGTCATACCCAGTGCTTTATGTGGGCTGGTACGCACCAGCACTATGTGCCAGCGCTTCTCAATTTTAGCCTCTGGCGTACCGGCACTTTTTAGGGCGGGACTTCACATTATATCCCAGCCGTCTTCGGGCGTTAGGCGGAGGACACCCTCAACCGGTTGCCAGCCAATCGCAGGGCACACAGGGACGAACAACGATCCACGCTCACACTCACACCAAGGGAAAATTTCGAGTGTTCAATCAGCCTACCATGCATGTTTTTGGCATGTGGGAGGAAACCGGAGTACCCGGAGAAAACCCACGCAGGACCGGGGAAAACAAGCAAACTCCACACAGGTAGACTGGAGCTGGAATTGACCTCTGCACTGTGAGATCGGCGGTCGACTCGCGAACCACTGGACCGCCCTCTCTCTCTCTCTCTCTAC